GTACAGGGTACAGGGTACAGGGTACAGGGTACAGGGTACAGGGTACAGGGTACGCACATACATTCGGACATCGAAAAAACGCTAGATTCGTGTTCCCTGGCCCCAAAAACACCCAGAAAACACATTTTTTATGGGTGTTAATTTTTCGACCGATTCCAATACTTTACCTTACACACTAGGTGTGTGCGGAAAAGTAAAACAAGAAAATTCCAATTATTCATGTGATTATGGCTGATCTGATGAATTTTTAATATTCTTAATTTATATTTGATGTGGAACAATAAATGAAATCTTTGAATGGATTTCGTAAAATCAATCCTCATTTCAGTTCATAAAAAGAGTAACATTGACTCGCATTGAACAATTTGGTGTTTGCTATAGTATAAAATCGATGAGAAATGCAATGTGTAACACAAAATGATTCTATTGAACTATTTGTGCAATAAACAGCACAGAACTTTTACTCGAAATTGCTTTGGTTAAATTATTTGTACAACTCACCTTTACCTTTTCAATATTCGGTTATTGTGCAAAAATATTATCGCCAATTTATTCTTGTGCGAATACGTGTTTCTCGCTTTAATGGCTGTCTACAAGTGACCACCACCTCTCATTGTGTGCGATAATGAATCAGCATAATTCGCGGAGGTTGTGAAAAGTGGCGTGCATTGCAACGCGAATGTATGTGTGTGGCATCCGTAGTAAAGTTGACTATATTCAACTGAAAATCATTTTTGGATCGAAATTTGTAATATATTTTTAGCGCTCAAAACTTACACGGATAAAATTGACAAATTGAACTGAAAAATTGGAATCTTCACACAGAGAGAATGTTTTTTGTTTTCATTTCGAATTTGTCATTCATTTGGTTTTTTATAAACAATTGATCTTGTTCAGTGTTGATCACTCATTAAGTTAGACAACTAATTTTAAGGTTACACACAAAACTTATCCAAAATCTGTATTGATAACAATTATCCACGAATTATATTAACCACATAAATTACTACTATTCATAAGGAAATAATTTTGTTGATTTATAGTGTTTTATAAAACCTAAACAAATAGATGCCCATGCTTCATTTTCAGTCAAAGACATTGTCATGTTTATTTGGGAATTGGTAAAGACCGATAATTTCCTCATTGTGCATTAATTGAGCATCTTAAAATGAAAATCATACACAGAATCTCAATTTCAGCTCACTTATTTCTCTTGCTCTGAAAGAGATGAGTGATTTTCATTCTGAGTGTCATCTTATGCATTAAATCTTTACCTTCCACTCCAGTGTCGCAAAATTCCTTGAAAACCTGCCGAATTGCCTGATTTATCGGAACTTTGATTTCTTTGAAGAATTAAATTCTTTAAATTATTTGGACCTACTTCAGTTTAGGTTTCATCTCGATTTTCGCCGCTTGAATGCATTCTCAAGCTTGTATCGTGTACTAACATGAATTGTGCCAAAACAAAGTAATCAATTGGAATTTTATGACAATATTTTCAACAATAACAACAGATCTTATCAACTCAAGGATAATCTGATTAAAAGTAATGCACAATTTGAATGCTTTCAGTTTTGAGGCACCAATTTCATTCCATTGAGAATCGATACTAATTATTAATTTACTAATGAGTCGATTATAATAACAGTGGCTGAAGTTTTTTCATCGAAACATAGACGAATAGAACGAACTCAGTGGGCATTTGAACGCGTTAAAACGACGCGTGACATCACTTTTTTGGTGTATCTTTTACACTTTTATGTCGACACTTTTGTATGTAAGTTTTACACTACTTTTATGGTGTATAATATGATGTATATTTTACACTGATAGTGTATAGCAAGTCATGTATGACATTACACCACAGGTAAATACTTTACACCAAAATCATTGTCCGAAATACATTGCAAAAAATTTTGGTATATTTTTTTCACGAACGGTGTAAAATTTTCAAGTTTTCGATAGAAGTTAAAAGTATATTTTTCTAGTCTACAAATTTAATAATTTTTCCTCTATAAGACTACAATATTTTGGATTTTTTGTCGTTTCTATGCCCGAAAAATTAAAACGAACTTCGACTGAATTTTGAAACTACCCCCTCTAAAATTTATGCGCCTTTGATATTTGCCGATTTAATAAAAATACTTTTTTCGAAAATTTGCAATTTTTTCTAATTTTTCATTTTTACATCAAAAAAGCGAATCTTTGCCCTCAGATCATGAAAATATTGAAAGATAAGCAATATTGCAATAATTTAAATCCCAATATTTATGAAATTAATTCATTTTAACCCTTAACCAGGCAGGTCAAAATCCTATCGGGCAAGTGGGGCCTGTGAGACCCGACGTACATTTTCCATGCAAATTCAATGAATTTTTTTTTTTTTTTCATTTTTCAAATTTCATTGAATTTATAAGACGAAAATTTTTGTTTTAACATAATAGATATTGAATAAAATATGTTTTTTGTAAAATATAACTGAAAAAATGAAAAAATAACCAATATTTATTCCGAATCGGATGAATTTAAGTTTCAGTTCAGTAGTTGTTTAGCACAAATTTTGCACTTCATTTTAAAAAATTTGATGAAATTTTGTATGGAAAATGTACGTCCGGTAGTTGTTCAAACCTCAATACAGCGATACTTAGGGAACCAAATTCAAAACAACTTTTATCAACGATTAGTAGAAGGATACAAAACAATTTGTTTGATTAAAATAATATTTTATGCGATTTTATGTAACTTTTTTTAAAAAAAATGCGCTACCGGGCCTCAGAGACCCAACCTGCCCTGGTTAAGGGTTAATATTCTTGAAGATGTGATTACAAACATGTCCTCCATATTTCCATTCTTCACACGACAAAAATTATCAAAAATATGGCTGCAGTGTATATTTTCCCTTTTTTCAGTGTATTGATTACACTGGTATATTTTTGGTTGAATCGGCACACTATTTTCGGACCAAAAGTCTGATGTATGTTTTTCACTACTTACGGTAGTGGTGTATATTATGCTCCAAAATCCAGTGATTTATTTACACCATGCGTGTTTTATTTACACTAGATGATAGTGACGCACTGCGTTACTTAAATTTCGTGTATATTTTTTCTGTACAATTTAATTTCAAGGTTTCTTTTACACTAAATATCGCAGTGTTACACCAAAAAAATTGAAAAAAATACGTTAAATAATTCAAATTTTGCTTGAATACTCCAAAATTGGGCAAATACACCGACATTTTTTGCGATTATACACTACTTTGAAAAATTTTGCCCACTGAGAATGTTCGAACATTTACCGCGACAAATATCCTGAAAACTGAAAAACGATAAATGTAACCAACTTCAAGGTCCACATTAGAATTGTCATGCAACATGACTCATGGCATTCTTGCGTATATACTAGCAGTTGTATCGTGTTTGAACTCTTAAATATTGGCGATAGAAAGTCATTTTTTATTAAAATTGTCCATCTAATTTCGATATATAAGGAGACCAAAGTGTTCAGCACAAACTTCATCGAAAGAAAACGAAGAAGAATATTCAGTAATCCAAAGAATGGAATTACCAAGTCCATCTACAACAGTGGTGTTCAACCACAAGATCATGAACATCAGCCAACTGCGGAGGGAATCGACTCCACAAATTATGGTCTATGATGTTCCATGGAAGATCGAATTCCGTAGAATTAGTGACAAGGAAGGAGAATGGCTGAGTTTCTACTTGCTTTGCGAAAACAATGATCAGTCCCATGATTGGTCGTATGCAGCATTTGCCAAAGTTGAATTATTATCGTGCACACGAAAGGGAACCGTACATGAGGACATCACCCATCCATTCATTTTTAATTACCTAAAGGCAGGTTACGGCTTCAGACAATTCATCAAATGGTATGATTTGTTTAATGCTGCAAATGGTTACGTAAAAGACGATGAGATCAAGTTGAAGATCAAAATTCACGTTGCTGATCCACACGATGACGACCGTAGTGTTTTGAAATATGATGTACTGGATAAATGTTGCGATGACAGTGGCTTGGCCGCATATCGATTGACCATCTCAAACATCGATTCTTTGTTGGTTGTTCAAATGCCGGTTTTCAAATTGCGTGATATGAATTGGACTGTCCGGATTTACAAGGGTCCAATGGAACACCTTTCCGTGTATTTGTTGAGCCAGGGAAATCCAGTTGGAATGTCATGCAACACAAAAGCAAATTTCAAACTTGTTTCAACGAAAGGTGATACTAAATCGATTGAAGTGTTCAAGGTTGGTACGCCCAATTTGGCTGCGATTATAACTGAATGGAGTCATTTGGTCGACGAAGAAAATGGATTCATTACAAATGACACTATCGTGCTCGAAATGGAGATCAAAGCCGATAAACCAAAAGGGCTCGGACAACAAACCAATAAACGCCAGGCGATCGGTGGCCAAAATGAAGATGCAAAGTTGCTGAAATTGGAGTGCTCAATTTGTATGGAGGCCATTCGCGATCAAGAACTTTCATCACTTCCATGCACTCATATGTTTTGTACAAAGTGCATCGAAGATGCCATCAAAGCTCACAAAAAGTGCCCAATCTGCAATTTTGAATCCAAATTGACCGATTTACGGCGCTCTCGTTTGCCATTGTAAGTGGAAATTCATCAATTTCGATTTGTTATTGTATACGTGGGACTAATGTCTTTGTTAAATTTGAATTCACAGCGCAAATTAAAAAGGTTTCAAACTCAATCACCCAGATGACACATCTGAAGGAAGCGAACATTAAATCAACAATTGATCTGCCAATAAAACGATTACTTCCATGAAATTATAATTTCACATCCATATGTCTTTAATTGAAAATAAATAAGAGTTACAAATAAAAATTATTTTTTTATTGAGCTGTTGTTGTTTTCAGTTTTTCTAAGGTTCGGATGATCTACGCAAAAAATATGTTATTTTCGTTAGAAAAGGATGGAAATAAGCTTTTGATATGCTCGTGCAAATTATTCAGTTTTTATCCAACATCATGATGCATTAAAAATGAGAAAAATGTGTAATTGCTTCGAATCGTCTGAAATGAAATTCATTGTTTAACGAAAATGATGGCACAGCGCATATTCATAATTCGCAAATGCTTTGTATTCGAGCAAATAAAGGGAATGATTATTACATAGGGACATAAACACGTTTAATGTCACTCGAAGGTGCGTTCACATTAGAACACTGTGGTGGTTTTCGAACAGAATGTTCTAGAACTTTCGAATTCGATCTGTCAAGACCGCGTTTGGCATTAATTCTCATTATGACATTTGTAGTCGTACACGAACGAGCCAGTATCCACGCGGTACACATTGTTCATACGCACTGCCTTATTTAATTCATTTCTATAACGCACAAAAATTGAATTTATTAAGTCGATTTGGGTTTCTACAACGAAATAATGGCAGTGTCAATTGTATCAAACACGATCAAATTCAATTGTGAAATTTCGAAACTTAGTGAGTTAGATGAACAATTCACACCCCAAGTTATGGTCCACGGCATTCCATGGGAAGTTAAATTCAAAAACATACGTGGCGAAGGAGAGGAATGGCTGGCTGTTTATTTGTCGTGTGAAAACAAAGATGCATCACGCGATTGGTCGTATACTGCTTTTGCCACAATTAAAGTATTGCCATTCGAAAAAAATGTGGAACCAATCAAAGGCTACATTCCACCGTATATTTTCGGTAAATCACATCGCATTCTTGGCATGAATAATTTCACCGAATGGGAATGGTTGACGAATGTTGAAAATGGATTTGTTCGTAATGACACCATCCGGATGAAGATTAAAATCGAAGTTACTGATCCAAATGATAAAGATAAGAGCATTTTGAAGGTTGATGTTCTCGACAAATGCTGTGGACTTGGTAGTTACATATCATTCCGAATGACTGTTTCCAATATCGATGAATTGGTGGCTGTTGGGACGCCCGAATTCAAGTTGCGTGGTCTACGTTGGAAAATGTCGATTTACAATAATACCTCGAAATGGTTGGGCGTTTTACTTGAGATCATTGGAGATGACATTACTGATGAATTTACATGCAAGACCACAGCTGTCGTCAAGCTCATTTCCACAAAAGATGATGCTAAGACAATTAAGCGCGTACTCGAGGATAATTTGAACCAACATGATATAATGGATGAATGCAAATTTGTATCGTGGGACGATTTATTTGATGATCAAAAGGGTTTTGTTCGCGATAATGCAACCGTGTTCGAAGTAAAAATCGTAGCAGAACAACCTGATAATGCTGTTCACTGTGCCAAGAAACGCCAAACGGCCAATGACCAGAATGAAGAAGCAAAATTTTCAAAATTGGAATGCTCAATCTGTATGGAAGCCATTCGCGATCAAGATGTCTCGTCACTCCCTTGCACTCATATGTTTTGTACAAAGTGCATCGAAGATGCCATCAAAGCTCGCAAAAAGTGCCCAATCTGCAATGCTGCAGCCAAATTGACAGATTTACGGCTCTCTCGTTTGCCATTGTAAGTGAAAACTCATCAATTTCGATTTGTTATTGTATTGTATACGTGGGACTTATGTCTTTATTTACTTTTAATTTGCAGCACAAATTAGGTCGTCATCGAACAACCAGATGACACATTTGAAAAAGGTGCACATCAACAATTGACCTGAAATTAAAGCGACTTTTTCCACAACATGAAATTTTCTCTTTCATGTGACACAAATTCATCTTACTTTGGTTCTTACAATTCTTATGAACATATTACTGATAACATCGGTTGAATAAAAACAAATGTTAGAAATAAAAAATAAAATTTTCATTGAGTTTTTATTGTTTTCATTTGAAAAGAATGGAAATACACATTTGATGTGCTCGTGGAAATTATTAAGTTTTTCATACAACATCATAAAAGATAAGCAAATTTAACTGCTTCGAATCGTCTGAAATGAAATTCGTTGTTTAACAAAAATGATGGCACAGCTCTTATTCATATTTCGAAGTTGTGTAAATAATGAGAATAGCTAAAACAGAAATATCCAAGTTCAATTGGAATTATGCGCCACTTGAAGCTGTATTCACATAAGACCATTGTTGTGCTTTTCGAAGAGCGAGTGTTCTAGCACTTTCGAATTCGATATGTCAAATTGCATATGGCCGCGTTTGGCGCTTTTTCTCATAATGACATTTTCAGTCGAACATTACAGAGCACATTTTATCCACAAGCATTGAGCTTGTCAATTTATTAATTTCTTCAAAGGCAAATAAAGCATTATACGTCGTACTTTTTAGAAAAAATTGAAATTATTAAGCTGACTTAGGTTTCTGCAGCGAAATCATGGCAATAACAAATGCTTTAACAACATTCAAATTCAACTATACAATTTCAAACATCAGCGAGTTCGACGAGCAATATACACCCGAAGTTATGGTCCAGGGCATTCCATGGAGTGTTAAATTCATAAAGGAACGTGTTGAAGGAGAGGAATTCTTCAGTTTTTATTTGTTGTGTAAACATGAAGCTGCATTACGCAATTGGTCACACATTGCTTTTGCAGCAGTTAAACTATTGCCATTCAAGAAAAATGTCATACCCATTGAATATTATATGGCACCATATATTTTCGGTAGCTTGTATCAAGTGTCTGGTATTAGTGATTTCATCAAGTGGAAGCGATTGATCAATAATCGAAATGGATTTGTGCATGATGACACCATCCGGATGGAGATCAAAATTGAAGTTGCCGATCCAAATGATGAAAATAAAAGCATTTTGAAAATTGACGTTTTGGACAAATGTTGCAGCCACAGTGGTCATGCCACTTATCGATTGTCTGTTTCCAATATCGATGCATTGATGGCTGTTGGAACGCCGGAATTCACTTTGCGTGGCCTACGTTGGAAAGTAATTATTTGCAAGTATATGTCGAAATGGTTGGGCTTTCAAATGCAAACCTCTAATAGTCACCTCCAAGGTACTGACGAAGTCACATGCAACACCAAAGCCAATTTCAAACTTATTTCTATGAAAGATAATGCTAAGTCAATTGAGCGTGTACTCGAGGGACAGATGGAAAAAGGATATCTATTGTATGATTGCGAATTTGTATCGTGGGACGATTTATTTGATGATCAAAATGGTTTTGTTCGTGATAACGCAATCGTGTTAGAAATCAAAATCGTAGCGGAACAACCGGATTATACCGGTCGCAATGATAAGAAACGACGATCGTCGGTGGATCAAAATGAAGATGCAAAAGTGCTGAAATTGGAGTGCTCAATCTGTATTGAAGCCATTCACGATCAAGACGTTTCATCTCTTCGATGCACACACATGTTCTGTACAGCGTGCATCAGACGTTCCATGAGAACTTATAAGAAGTGTCCAATCTGCAATGCTGCAGCCAAATTGACCGATTTGCGACGCTGCCGTTTACCAATGTAAGTAATGTTTTTGATCATGCTTGTTGTATATCAGATCTATATGAGCTAACCTCAAATGTTGCTAACCACATTTTTTTCCTTACAGAAAAGAATAGAGAGTTGACGTACTCAACCATCAACGAAAACATTCAACACAAAAACAATCAACGATATTCCAAACAAATGCATACGATTCAGTAAAAAGAGAAATTGACGGATTTACAACCCATTAGTTGCGTATTGCCAAAGTAAGTAGTACTCTTTTTGTTAGAGATCATTCATTTTCAACTATCAAATGTTTTTAAACACCATATTTTTTTCTTATATTACAGGGCGATGAGTAGACGTTCTTCGTTATCACAAGACTCATTCCAAAGTCTTACCAAATATATCTCATAAGGGATGACCTTTGCTGCATAAAAATACATTCGATTCATCAACAGTTTTAAACAATAATCAAAACAAAACTATAGTCCAGTAAAAAAGAACACTATCACTCTCTTATCTTACTTAAATTTGTATTGAAAAGTTCAAAATTCAAACTCGTCAGTTCATAGATCATAAGAAATAGTTTAATCCGTTTACTTTTGATACAGAAAAATAATTGCTTGAATAAATTCATTCAATTGAAAACACATTGACTTTGGCACTATTCCATGTATTTCTCGCAGGTGAAAGTCTTATCATCGATGACATTGTATTTGTATTTACGATAATCCAGATCCCCTGACATGGTTCTTCTTACCGAATCGAAAAAAATTGAAAGCAAAATGTGCGGAATGTTTTCAATATCGGCAGTTGTCGATAGATCATCAAAGTAATCTTTTTGATCTGGTCCTAATGTATGCGTCCTATGTTTCTGATATCCTTTATTCCAATGAATTTGTGTTTTGACGCGCATGTCCATCATCATTTCTGATTTCGTTGGCAGCTTTTTGGCTCCTGTTAAGAACTTCAGAGCAAATTTCGCCTACAAATACATTTGGATTTAACGAAATATGTTCAGACAATTTTTTTCGAGAAGTCTCTCTTTCGAAAACAACACCAAGAAACTATTTTGATAAAATCCATTCTTTACATGAAGTTCAAACATTGTAAAATCAAATTACCTGTAAATCATACATTGGAAAGTTGCATGCAAAATGAGTGACACCGATGAAAGCCATTGATGGAAATTCAATGTTCAAAATTTGTTTATATAACGGCTGAACGAAGTTGTTATCTACATGGATTCCACAATCAGCACTCAAAAATGGATACTTAAAATTGTAACCTGTTTTGTTAATAAAATGAAAATATTATTAATTGTTCAAATTTAACGTATGAAGGTCTCAAAAAATCACCGGTTGCATAGATAATAGCTGTAAAGGTTTGATGGGATCCATCAATAAATTCGGCTCCGGTTGGTGTTAAACGTTTGACATTCTCTTGAAGTGACACATTTGATGGAAATTTACTTTGACGGATATCTCGTGCCTCCTTTGTTTCATCGGGACGTTTGTGTTGACTGAATGTTATTCGATTCGCTACTTTTGAAATTTGCATAACCAAATCTACACCACTAGGACCACCACCGACAATGAGAACATTATCCGCTTAAAATAATAGAAAAATAACGAAAGTCAAACTTTTCACTAAATTATATTCACATTCAATCAAACAATAATGTGCGGACAGTGGAGGTAGAGATGTTTTTGTTCGTCTTTTTCGAAACCAACCCCCCTTTCCCCTCGATAATTTATGCTCGCACATTATTGCATTAAACCAATATATTTAAATCACCATGGAATGCTTCGGCTGTGCGAAAATCCCGGCTGTGAATTATTTTTCCGTTAAATTCGCTGGCACCATCGATCTTCGGAATGCGTGGCATCGTGCAATGTCCATTACAAACGAAAACGATGTCATAAATTTTCGTTTCGAATTTATTGTTCGGTAGATCTTTCACGATAATTTCCCATTTATCATTTTCAATTGGTTGAATTCGAATCACCGAATGACTTAATTTTAGATGCTTCATTAAATTGAAACGATCCGCATACGATTGTAGGTACTTTAATACGTCCGATTGGGGTGGATATGGAAGAGTCTTCTCAGGATACTTATGGTCAATAAATTCCATCAATTGCTTGGGAAGATTGGTTCTAGATTTAAATGTAATGATTAACTTTTATGCATGTATAGTGTATACCATTATCGGTATTCTCAACTACCATTTGGGTTCCATTAAAGGATCGCAAATGAAATGAGCTACTAATTTGGATACAAGGAAACCCCAAACACATGCCAAATTAAAAAAAAAATACCTCAATCCCTGATACATAACCGAATGAACGTTGGCACCATATTGATCTTTGTCGGTTTTGTCCGTGTACATCCATGTTCCACCCAAATTCGAAGCTTGTTCGTAAATCGTTACATCAAACCCTTCGGCAATAGAATATTTTGCACTAACAAGACCCGATGCACCACCTCCAATAACAGCCACATTTACCATTTTGCCCATATTATTTTGTCTCTTCTTGTAATAAAAACACTTCGCTACTATTGTAAATGTATTTCTCTGGTGAGTTAGTGTACATTCAAATTTAACTTTGAATTTTTCTTTAGTAACTAGTATTTACAAAATACATCTTTTTGTCGACTTTTGCTGTGGGACACTTCCTTTTATAGTAATGGCTAGCGACAACTGATTTGTAAAAATAAATTATCATCATTATATTACGTTTTCTTTATCACTGTAATGTATGTATTTCAAACACGATGAAGTGCACGTATATGCGAAGTGAACCGCAGATAATGCTCCTATCATCGAGCTACTTTATCATATCGTTTGGTTGAAAAATGAAATTACTTCGAGCAAAAATCACATTCATTTTGATAAGTAGCATTCGTTAGCTGCTTATCAATATATGAATGAAGGTCGCAATAATCGTACTCCACACAGAGAAAAATAAATCGGTAAATATTTACTGACTGCGTTAAATTCCATAGGC